TCTTTCTGCTGAAATCCTTTGACGACCGATCGAGCTTTGTATCTCTTAGAACCATCATGGTCTTCCTTCACTCGATACACCCATTTGTTGTGAAGTGCTTTCTTTCCCATAGGTAACTTGACTAGTTCCCATGTCTCGATTTGAGATTAAAGACTTCATCTCGTCTTTCATGGCAAGCTCCCACTTGCTAGCATCCGTGGCTTGACAAGCTTCCGTATAATCTTCGGGCTCCCTCCATCGATCAACAACATATAGTCCATGTATCTCCTATTAGGCACATGAGGCCGAGAAGACCTTCTCAATACGGGAGTTGGAGTAGGAGGTTCCGCTTGCACATCAAGTTCTTCAACCGATTCCTCCGGTCGAGGACTCCTCATTATAGGACTTTCTCGGGATATCTTCCACCTCTCGCATAAACCGGCCCACTCGCTTCGAGTTGCTGGCACTTGTATTATGCTTGTCCTTGTACATCACTCTTTCATTGAAGATTACGTCTCTGCTGCGGATCATCTTTTTGTTTTCATCGTCCCATATGCGGTAGCCAAACTCATCTTCACCATAACCAAGGAAAGTACATTTCTTTGATTTTGGATCAAGTTTGTTTCGCCTTGATCACCGATATGCGCATATGCTACACAGACCAAAAACTCTAAGATGTGAGAGTTTTACCTCTTTTTCGCTCCATACCTCTTCCGGTATCTTGTGCTCCAATGGTACCGATGGACTTCGGTTGATCAAGTAAGCTGCTTGTGTTGATCGCTTCGCCCAAACTGCTTTGGTAAGCTCGATCGCACACGCATGCTTCGGCCCTTTCGATCAACGTTCGATTCATACGCTCAGCCTACACCATTGTGTTGAGGCGTACCGTGCACGGTTCTCTCCATTCCGATTCCGTGCTCATAGCAAAACTTCTTGAATTTGGTGTCTACATATTCACCACCATTGTCGGATTCGAGCTTCTTAATCTTCAATCCTGTCTCATTTTCCACCATAGCTTTCCAAATCTTGAAAGCTTCAAATACTTCGACTTATATTTCGTAAAGTAAACCCATACCTTTCTGGAGTGATCATCAATGAAAGTCACGAAGTAATGTTTCCCACCAACGGATGGGACAGTCGTTGGACCCCAAACATCGAGTGGATGAGCTCAAGCTTCTCTTTCTTTGGGGTTCTTTTACTTGTTTGAAAGCCGACTCTCTTCCGCTTTCCAAGTATGCGATCTTCACACATGTCAATATCTACTCGACCGAAGACCTGGTAATTTTCCTCTCGAGTGCATGACCTTCATTCCTTTCTCACTCATATGTCCAAGTCTTTGGTGCCATATGTTGGAATTTTCATTTGCTTGCAACTCGCAATCAAATGACATGCTCCTGCAGTCTTGTAGAGAGTTCCACTCTTTTTGCCTCGAGCAATCGTCATCGCACCTTTTGAGATCTTCCATTCATCACCATGGAAGATTGTCGTATAGCCTTCACTAGCTAATCGACCTACCGAGATTAAGCTCTTTGTCGAGTCGGGAATATGTCCGACATTTTTCAATTCCCATACGGACCCATTCAGCTTAATCCTTACTCGCACCTTTGCCTACAATCTCACATGACTGTTCATTACCAAGGTAAACCTTACCAAGGTTTCCGGAACATAATTCTCCAACAGCTTCCTTCGTGAGGTAGCATGAAAAGATGCTCCTGAGTCTAACACCCAAGACTCCTCCCCGCCTTCAAGAGAGCATATCAACGCCTCATCTTTTCCCGAGGTGGAGGCAACGTTTGCTTCGTCCTTTGCTCCTTGATTCTTCCGTGCACTCTTGCACCTGGTTTCGAAGTGTCCGGTCTTCCCACAATTCCAACACTCGATCGTTTTTGAGTTGTGGGAACTACGATGATTTCCGGACTTGGACCGCTCTGTCCTTTGATTTTCCATGTCCAATTTCTTTGGTTGAACTTCTTCCTCTTGACTCGTATGCACATCGAAGAGGTTGATGCTTCACCCGACTCTCTCCGCCGGATCTCTTCGCCGAGAACCAAATTTTGAACATCATTAAATCTTAACTTATTGTTTCCCGATGAGCTACTCACAGCTGTGACCGTAGCATTCCAACTCTCCGGTAGGGAAGACAAAAGTATTAAAGCCTCGTACTTCATCATCGAATTTGATGTCAATAGAACTCAACCGGGTTGTTACAGTGTTGAGTTCATTGAGATGATTTGCCACCGAAGCACCTTCGGACATCCGCGAGTTGAACAATCGCCTCATCAAGTGAACTTTGTTTGAGGCCGATGGTTTCTCGTACATGTTGGAAAGAGCCTTCATGAGATCTCGAGGTCGTCTTTTCTTTCACAATGTTGAAAGCAACATTACGGGATAATGTTAGACGAATAACTCCAAGAGCCTGTCTATCAAGGAGTCTCCATTCTTCCTCTTTCATGGTTTCCGGCTTCTCCCCGTGAGTGGTTGATGCATCTTCTTCCGATACGAGATAATCCTCTATCCGCATTTTCCGAAGCCAAAGTCCGTACTCGTCGAACCTTTCGATTTTCATTTTTCCTTCGTCTGCAGACCATCACTCCAACTCGATCCGACTTATCTGCTGGATCGTTTCGACAATTTCGTGAGCTACCGTGTTTCGGAACACGATCGCGGGCAAATTTGTAACGCCGACAAAATTTGCACTATTCACGTTTTCACTATTCACGGAATAGTAACTTACTATTCATATGAATAGTAACACCACAAAAATTACGTAACTAACAACCAGACTCCGATACCAGCTTGTTGGGAAAAATATGCGGAATCTTCCCATATGGTCGGATCCGTGAAAGTGAAATAAAAGCGGAATAATTGCACACACAAGTTGATAACGGAGTTCGGCCAATAATGCCTACGTCTCCGGACTACTACGAGATCTCTTACTAGGAGAAAAGAAAAATACACAAGTGTTTACAAAACACTCCCAAAACACTCACAACTCACAACCCAATTACACCCGTAAGCTAAACTAAAACTCTCTAGTTTTTCCGCCTCTCACCTGGTGCCACTCTTTCTTCTCTAAGAGAAGTAGTATTTTGTGTGGGATGGGATGCATTTGCTTGCGGGGAGAAGACCAATTTATAGCAAAAATTGGTACTGTGCATTACCATAAAAAAATGCCTCGTGGGCACCTCATGCTCGCTTTAAAAATTTGGCAGCCAGAATTGAAGAATTTGGCAGCCACTTTCTTTGACTAACATATATTATTGAACGACATTTACACTATCCAAGCATTATATGAAATAGATATGCTAGTGGTTCTTAAACCGAATTCTACAAAATGGTGACATGTATGATTTTTTACCTCTTTATCATAAATTGTGTTTTAAAGGCATGTGTTTGTGCACAACCTAGTTTGTTGTCTATTAGAGAGAATTTTAATATTTTGAAAAGACTAGTAGTAGTTAATATTGGGCAAAATACTAAGGATTCTATCAACTGTATGGGCAATTGAAGTTGACACAGAACAAATTCTAAGAGGAAAATAAAAAAGGATAATGATTCTATCTTGACTAACTTTTGATTTCTGATGGTATGGTGATAAGTTGTTAGTATAAGATCCCCACCATGGATGAAGGGAAGACTCTGAAACCAACTCAATTCAAGTAATGAGTACTAAACTCAGTTCAAAAAACTTAAAATAATAATAATTTTGTTTTCAAAATTTAGCTTGTTGTAAACATCAACAACACTTGTATTCATAGAAGGTAAACAACACCAAGATATCGTCAGAAGTTGACATAGTAGAAAAATTATTGGAGGAAATATCAAAGAGAGGATCAATACAAATATCAAATAATAAATAACAGAATTATTACTATGTTATTTTTACCATGCAGGTGGCAAATGAGAGTAGCAATCTATTCGTTGAAGCATGGTAATCACAAAGCAAATAAATTGGAGAGAAAAAACAAGTATGTAACTCATTTATAAAATTCTACTTCATGGAAGAAGAAACAGGTGTGTAACTAGATTGTTGATCTAATAATTAAAAATAAGAAGTTATACAAGCTAGAGTTTCATACCATTAAATGGTAAATAAAGAACTTATAAATGCTATAGAAAATTGGAACGATTTGGGAGAATTTAGGCACAATTTGGAAGAATTTGGCATGATTTGGGAGAATTGGATTATGTGGGTACAAATTGAAAGGATTTGATGATTTGGACGCGATTTAGGGTTGAGGGATTGAAGAAGGTCGATGGCACGAAGACGAAAGAAAAAGAAAATAATATAAGTTTCTTTTATCATTCAGAAATAAAATGTTAAAAATAAAATACATATCAAATTAAAAAAGAAATTATGATTGAAGAATATATTAAAATTATGTTTTATGTACTGTAATATATTTCCTCAATTTTTTATAAATACTAAATTGTATTTTAAGCCTTTTAATTTTTTTATTAGATTTACTTTGGTATTTGATTTATTAAAACGGTAAAATGTGATTTTGCTCCCTCTAAAATATATATAATTCATATTTAATTTCTCAAAATTTACATACTTTTTTATTATTACAAAATTAAAATATGTCAAATTTAATACCGATTATGATTACAATAAACTCTCAAATAAATGTTAAACTCTGTTAGAAACTTGTTTCAAGTTTAATAAAATTGATCCCAAAATAGTAAACATACGAGCAAAGTACTAAAAAATGTATGTATAATAGATAATATATTAGTTATTTTCCGAAGTTAAGTACAGAATGTTAACATCAACGTGTTTTTAAACAATTCATTGAAAACTACAATACCATAAGATTTGACAGAAAACATGGTGTTGTGTTATTGTAGACAAATTTGGTTACTTTGCCCTAAAAAGTTTGTAATATTCAATAACAAAGCATCATCTTACTGATGAATAAGGCCTTGATAGATTACATACAAAAAACTTGGATAAATCTCTCCAGAATCTAGCAAGCCCAGTACAAATGCAGAAGTACCCTGCACTGATATTAAGTTGTTCAGCCACCACTTATTGGAGGTATTATGGCCAACTCATCTGTGTCTTTAACAATGGCTGACTCGGTTGTATACTCCTCATTCAGAGCCAAAACCATGCACCCTCTTATTTCTTCCAAACCCGGAAACTTGACAAAAAGCTTTTTCAAACAATCATCAGTAGTACTTCCAGATGACACCTCCAAAGACATCTCACTTAAGCCAGTGAGATCACGGGCTCTGGCAAAAAACAACACTTTTATCTTCACTAGAGAACTATCATTCTTGTTCCCAGTGTCAGCTTCATCCAAAATCTTATTATCTACTTCCGTCATATCCCTTTTCTGCATTCAGGAAGTGGTTAGAGACAAACTAGTACATACAAGACATGTTTCTGCAAAACCGCAGGAAATTCATTCTGACAACATAAATCGATGCTTATAATTTATTCATTCACTGCTAAAATAAATCAGTGGATACGATTTCACCAACTGGCTACTAAATGTATTAAAAAAATAAAACATAAAAATCCTAGTCATCTAATTTAAAAAATCTACCTATATACAGTGAACATACTTCTCGAAGTTTGTGTCAATGGAAAGTGTCAAAATAGTTTCTTTTTTCTGGGTGGGGGATGGTTGGAGCAAGGCAACAAAGTTTATAAGTCAGAAGCTGCTACTAATTTTTATTTGATATAGGAAAAGACTTAAAAAAGAAAAACATTTTGATTAAGAACATCCTTTACACCTTTCCCTATACTTAATTAGATTTAGTGCTCTGCCAAGTACAGGGAAAGATAGAAACTTATGGGCTAAAATGGTTACCAGATATGGAATACCCGACAACCTAGTGCACAGAGTTCCCAATTAGTGGGGTCATGAAAAGGTAGATAAAAGCAGCCTCAGCCCCTCAAGCAGAAATTGAACTCATGATTTCTAAGCTACATGCTGTTGTGACAAGGCTCATCTTCTATAATATGATGTATTTTCATAATCGGTGTGGACTTGCGTAATGTCAAGAAGCAACGAAATCTCATAAGAATGTACCCTAAATTGCTGATTATGTTGGTTTAATTTTCCTTCCTAAGATGTGTGTTCCTTTCCTATATCTAAATTCAATTTCCTTTTCTTCCTTACTATCTTCATAAGAAGTAAAGTGTAATGGTCTACATTTGATAAAGCTCCGCACCAAAGATAATCTATCACCATGACACTCTGATAAAATAAAATTGAAAATCACATTAAAACCAATTAGGAAATCAACTAGGGTGGCATATTTGAACTTGGGAACGAATTCTGAAGAAAGAACCTAAGCTCAAGAATTTTGTAAAATTTTTTGGCGATGTTGTTACAAAACTCATAACAGAAGCAACTAAAATGATACTGAAGCAAATACGTTAGGTAAAATGAACATCTATAGATAAATTAATGACTAATGAACATTTTTTAACTCAATACAAAAAAACAAATGGGGAAAGAGAAGATTAAATAAATGGTAAGTAAGCGCAATAGCCTACAACAAGATGACATATAAAAGCCTTAGTGGGGGCAAAACCAAACAAGAAAACCACACCTTCTAGGTTTTCAGAGCTTGACCCTTGAGAAGATCTGCATTCTTATGATGGTTCAAGTTCTTCAAAGTATCTATGGTGAAATTTGATATATTTCAGAATCCATACAATTTTACAGATTAAGAAAGGGATTTCCACAAACGAAGTAATTTACAGAAAGAAGTGACAGTATGATGAGTTATCAATGCGAAATGAGAAGCACGGCAAGAAGAATAGTATAGGACGGAATGAGAATGGAAAAGGCAATACCTTTGACAAACAGGCGGTAGAGAATCACGCACCAGACGAAGAGAGAGTAAGGTTTGAAAAGGGATTGAATTGGAGAAAGAAAGGTTTGAAGAATGGACCGAAGATGAAAACATCGGTGATAGTGCTCTAAAATATTCTACTTCATCAGTGGTATGTCTGGTAATTTTAACTTTTTTTTCTCTCTTTTCCTTAAAAAGTTTTAACTATTCTTCTTTATTGTTTAGTTTCTTTTCATTAATTTTTAAAATTATTTGTAAATAAATTTTTTATACTTATTTTATTTGTAATTATTATAATATTTTCTCTAGATCAACATTTGTGAATATCTTATATATATGATTATGATTTAAATTATAAGTAAAAAATAAAAATTAAGTATATAAAATAATAAGATAAATAACTTTATTATGTCTATTGATAAAAAAATCTAACAATACAGATAAAAATCAAAATATATAACATTTAAAATAGATTTTTTTTTTAAATTAAGATAAATATTACTTTTTATTATTTTAATAAATTTTTATTAACATTATTATTGTTTTAATATTTTTATGTAAAATTACTTTGTTATTTTCTTTCTATAATAAATATAATTAAAAAATAAAAAATAATTTCTACAATCTTTAAACTTTAGAAACTGACATATATTTCAAAATATTTTTCCTCATAAAAAGTCTTATATTTTTTAAAGGAATATATTCAAAAATTTAAAAGTTAAAATTAAAATTTTAAAATTTATGTATATTATTTTCTTGTTATTTAAGATATGTCCAATAGGAATAATTTGTGAGTTATTTTTATTTTAGAAATATAAAATATAAATTTATTATGTAAAATTATACTTAAATAATTTGGCTTTAACAAATATCTTATTAAAAAACTTAAAAAAAAAACTCATATTTACTTGTTTAATTATTAAAATAACAAAGCTTAATTAAAAAAAATGTTCATTTATATTTTTAGTCACTAATATTTAAGATAAATTTGCTTTTATCCTTCAAATTAAAAATTAACCTGTTAAATCCGGTAACATAAAAATAAACATGTTTTTATTTCTCTGCACAAACATAAAATATTTTTGTAAAAATAAAGTTTGAAAATAAATTATCATATGAAATACTTGCAATTCGTTAGCTAAAGTCAAATCCTTAATGATATTTAAAATAAATGAACTTAAACAAGTCATTTTAAATTACAATAACAAAAACAATCAATTTTCAATTTAAAAAAATCAAAAACCAACATACCCAAAATTTGAAAGAAAAAAAAATAATAACTCTTAAAATATTTCATAGCTTGAGTCTTGACAAGCTAATTATATTATATATATTATCATAGTAATCTAGACAAGAGCATCATTGACCTTTCTTTATTGCGTGTAATTTTAAAATTATTGCAATTTTCTATTGGGTTTTGCTTAGCTTTTATTCTTTTTTATTTCTTTCTTGGTCCACGTATCTTTGGATTTTCATCAATATTTTCTAATGATTTAATTTAAGGGTTATAATTGGATTGACGTTTTATTTCTCGAGCAGCCATACTGGAAAAATCAAAGCATTGGACGATGTCAATTCAACAACTATTTCAGTTTGTTGACAAAATAGCTTATGTGAACTTGTATTCAATATATATAACATAACTCGATAAACCAAAGGTAGAGAAGTAAACATGGAAATAAGTTATCTAGTAGTGTTTTTCATTCTGCTTCTTCCAATCTCATGCACAGCTTCTACCTTGGTAGAAAAGAAATTCAAAGAATGCTTGATAACCCAACTTCATGAAAAATCTGAATCCGTTGAGAAAATAATCTTCACCAAATCATCCTCCCAATATCCCCAAGTCTTGGAAGCATTGGAACAAAATCCTAGATGGGTGAACTCCTCAAGGGAGCCTCTTCTCATTCTAACACCTTTCCATGAATCAGAAATTCAAGCAGCCATCAGATGCAGCACAGAACTTGGGTTGCAGCTCAGAGTCAGAAGTGGTGGCCATGATTATGAAGGGCTATCATTCCTTAGTAAGGTCCCATTTGTCATGGTTGACCTCATCAACATCCGTTCCATTGAAGTTAACCTTGCTGATGAAACAGCTTGGGTTCAGGCTGGGGCATCATTAGGTGAACTTTACTACAAAATTTCAAAAGCAAGTAATCTGTATGGATTCCCTGCAGGAACCTGTCCAAGTATAGGGATAGGTGGGCATATCAGCGGAGGGGGGCAGGGTATCACGTTGAGGAAGCATGGCCTGGCAGCAGACCATGTTGTTGATGCTTACATCATAGATGCAGATGGGAAGATCCATGATAGAAAATCAATGGGAGAAGATGTTTTCTGGGCCATTAGAGGAGGTAGCGCCACTAGTTTTGGAGTCATCCTTGCATGGAAGATCAGGTTGGTCAGAGTTCCACCTATTGTTACAGGGTTCAACGTCCACAGAACAGTGGAGGAAGGAGCCAAAAATCTCATTCACAGGTGGCAATACATTGCACATGAAGTGCATGAGGATCTTGTCATTAGAGTATTTGCTCAAAATAGTGGTGACAAGTCAAAAACATTCAGAACAACCTTCAACTCTATCTTCCTTGGAGGAATAGACAGGTTGATCCCATTGATGAATAAGAGTTTCCCAGAATTGGGTTTGCAGGCAAGAGACTGCACTGAAATGAACTGGATTCAATCAGTGATGTTCATTGCTGGATTCAACATAGACGGCCCTCTAGAACTCTTGCTCAACAGAACTACATCATTCAAAAGCTCTTTCAAGGCCAAGTCTGACTTCGTAAAGGAGCCAATACCAAAATCTGGTCTAGAAGGAGCTTGGAAAATGCTTCTAGAGGAAGAAACACCAGCTGGGCTGATATTCGAACCCTATGGTGGTAGAATGAATGAAATTTCAGAATCTGAAACCCCTTTTCCCCACAGAAAAGGTAACTTGTACAACATACAATACTTGATCAATTGGGAAGGGAATAGCAAGGAAGCATCCAAGAGGTATCTACACTGGGCTAAAATGATTTACAAATACATGACTCCGTATGTCTCAAAATCTCCACGAGCTGCCTATTTCAACTATAAGGATCTCGATTTAGGCAAAAACAAGCATGACAACACAAGCTACTCAAAAGCTAGTATTTGGGGCGAGAAGTACTTTAAGGGAAACTTTAGAAGATTGGCACAAATTAAGACGAAGTTTGACCCCCAGAATTTTTTCAGGAATGAACAAAGTATTCCTCTCCTAAATTCCCATCCTTCTTAACACAAGGGCATACATGACATTATTGGGAAACCTTTGAACATTTGTGTAGTACTCCAATATTATGTTAGTCTTTTACTTCGTATGAGTGTTATATACCCAAGCCTACATGGTATATCGTTTCTGCAGACATTTCAAAAGAATGGGATACATATTCCAAATGTATAACACGGTTACATATCATGTCAGAAGTCACAAAACTCAAGAATGTACCTATATTATGTTAGATTAATTACCCTTCCTACGATGTACACTCAAGCTTTCCTTCCTTTCCTATATCTTCATTTCCTTTTCTTCCTTATTACGTGCATAATTTTTTACTTTAAATTATGATTGCAGAAAAGTAAGAAGTGTAATGGTCTACATTTGATAAAACTTCTCACCAAAAATAAGCTACTACATCATATTAAAGTTGAGGTAGGAAAATACCGAGAAGAATGACTTTTGAAGTAAGAATCTAAAATTTGGTGATGTTATTACAAACTATTTACAGAAGAAACTAAAATGATGCTGAAGCACAGAAAATAGGTAAAATGCGAAAATTTAAATCAACATTTTTTAAATTACTATAATAAAAAGCAAATGGGGAAACAAAAGATTAAATGACTGGCAATAATTAAATAAAAACAATATCCTATACCAAGGAAAAAGCATTATTCAAGGAAAAAACAATGTCCTTTTGGCTTTATAAAGCTTGACCCTTGAGAAGATTACCTACATCTTTGTGATGCTTCAACTTCTTCAAAATATCTAAGACAAAAAGTTAATTGGGAAGTGTTCCCACCTCCAGCCCATTAAGATAATACCATTCGGACAATCATCACATTGATATATTGTCTATTTTAAAAATCATATTTTCATTACGATTTTGTCTTAAAGAACGCATAAACAATGTAAGACTTTTGACTCACTGCAACAAAGATGTTTCAAAATCCATATACAATCTTATAGATTAAGAAAGGGAAATAATATAATGTTTACCATAACAGTATTAAGATGAATTGCTCATTAAAACTATTAGATTTCCAGAAAATGATCAGTGAGGAAGTAAAGTAATCTTTGTTTATCTCCGTTTATATATATGATAATTACTTGCTCAAATATATTTTAATTGCATTCACATTCAGCAAATTTGGAGGTTGGTGGCCAGGCCATTTTTTACAGACAGCAAATCAATAGAACCTCCATAGAAAGTAAGAAAGCACCCAATTCACACAACAAAGAACATGGGACCGAGACACACAATAACGACTAAATGTAGGATTTAAGCAGCATTGAATCTAACACAACCTTCATTCATCTTTTGAAGTATATATATTGATACACAAAATTAAACTTATGCACAACACAAATAGCACTAGTAAAACAAGTACTTTAAACCCAAAAGAAATACTACACTGAAACATGTCCTAGATAGTAACATAATTACAAAAAATTGAATATAGAAATATAGTTCAAAGTTCCATTACCATTATAAACTAATTGTATACCAAATGTTAAATTGAATCTCACAGCTTCTGGCGATGCATATCCTTATATACTCTTTCTAAAGTAGTTTCATCTCATCATTTTTCCATTCACTACACTCATCTTCTTCCTCTTCATCCTCCTCCTCCCTGCCATCGTCATAATCATCCTCCAGCTGCATTTCGAAAATAAACCTTAATTGCAACTTTATAAGGAAATCATTAAGTTTAGACAACAATTTAAAAAAAAGTTTGCAAATAATGGATGAAAAAAATGTGCTGTAGTTCTTCGCCTGAATGCGGAAACAGATCCACGGCAGGAAGAGTTGTTGAGGACGGAATGAGAATGGAAGCGGCGATACCTTTAACGTGGAGATGGTGGAGAATCGCGCATGAGATGAAGAGAGGAAAACGGTGGAGAATCGTGCTATTCAGTGGAAGAAATTAGCTAACAATATTTTGCAGTTTTACATTATAAGAAAATTTTCCTTTCACAACCGTAACAGCTCCTAAACAATTTATTATATTAATAATATTATTATTATTATTATTAGTATTAGTATTATATTAATACAAATTGTTTATTGGATTATTAATCATCCCTCAGCATTATATTGTAAATAAATGTTATCACGACCACTTTTACAGATTTTCTTTTTATATTTTTATATTTAGTATAAGTTTTTTTATGGTTGTTGGATTTTTTATATTGTCAACCTCAATTCTAAAATTTATTAAAGATAAGTTTAAAAACATTAATTATATATAATCTTGTTTTTTAATATTCTTAATCTAATGATTAATTTTTTATTTTTTTTAAATCAGTAAGAATAGCAAGGGCAAGATTATAATGGTTTGAATTGAATGAAGGAAACCACAACAAATGAATTGGTACAAGATGTACTTTAAATTTCAAAACCATTGGGCATAATTTACACCATAACTGTCACAAAGCTACTCTTCTAGGTTTCTCTGTAGAATAATGATAAGAAACTTAACTATAACAAAGACAAATGCAAGGAGCAAAAGATAAAGCATATAAAATGACTGTTAAAATAGCCTATTGAGCATTTGGAGTTGAATTGTTGGATTTGTACTCCATCAGTTCAGTTCTGTATCTTTCCTTATCTTTCACCCCTTTTTCTTGATAAACCTGAATCAAATTCACAAACAAAAATATGTATGAGTAAATCTAGGAGATAGATAACCCCATAATATAACTCTTTCAAAGTCCTAACATGTAATCTCATCACGCTAAAGGATCTTCCCTAGCCTATAGAGACTAACCCTTCAAGCTGCAAAGATCTGACAAATACAACAACAAATATGATCCTTTTCTCTTTCACCGTTTCACTTCTGGGATATTTTCGAGTGGATAACAGAGTGATATTCTCAAATGGATATGAATCAATCATATAAAAAAAGTGTGACCACCTTAACCTTAAAGCCTTAAACTTTCTCATTTTTATCTCATGCAGAATTTCAACTCATTAGTATTTTGTTATCACCTTAATCTAAGTGAAAAGGGCCATTAGTAGCAACATAATTCTCAATGAAAACACCAATTATTAGGACTTAATGATAAGAAGAGAGTCAAACCCAAAAGATTAGTCCATTAGACCAGAGAACCACAAGGCCTAAGTAGCATATCAAGTAATTTATCCAACTCAATATGAGACTCCTAACATTATCCCTGATAGTTTCCACAAGCAAATAGAAAAATAGTTGGCTATATAATGTAAATCTTGTGGGGAACATTCTCTCGTATGTCAAATTTAGCTTGTTGGAAGAAAAAGTAGCTAAGCATCTAGCCATGTGTATAAAAAAAGTGAACTAAAACTGTTTTGAGATCTAACACATCTAGATTAGCAACCAATTCAATAATAGGTACATTAAATGCAAATACAACTAGCAACGAAGTACGTAGGATCAAGATAAGATTGCATAGAAATTCTAAAGTAGAAAAATAGCAGCATGTCATTAATTTTCTGAATCTTAAAGCAGAAGTCAGTGTAACATTTGCCTGATTAGTAAGAGATAAATGAAGGGAAAAAGAAGGAAAATAATCGATGTCCCTGAAGAACTAGTCCAGATAGATATAAATTTTCCATTTCTTTCACTACTTTTTCATTATGTATGTCAGAGATCAGTATGTATGGTTGCAACAAGAAAAAGCAACCAGCAGCAAAACAAAACTAAATCAAGAAACCCTCTTCATTGCGAAAGAGTGATTCTATACCTGTCTTTCTGCTTCTGACAGATTGTTCCACAGAAACCCAATCCTCTTACTAATTGCTCTCTCTTGCCCATGATAAGAGGGCTTCAGCCTTGCATAATTCTCAGCAAAGAAAAAGTTGTAACCGCTCCTGTTTGACTTTGGCCGAAACGGATCACGTGGTGTATATTTTGCTCTCTTCCGACTCTGCGAACCAGATGTGCCTTCACCATGATTCCGTGATCTAGCCATACCTTCGGCATGAGAACTCTGGGACATGTTATCAGGAACATGAAACAGAACACCTTTCAGCTCCTCAGAACCCACAGTCACTGTGACTACATATCCACCATCAAATTTCACATCAATTGTTCCAGAAAGCACAGCATCATATCCCTGCACTGGAGTACCTGCATATAAGAAAGAAAATCCTTGTCACAGTTCTGCATGAAAAGTATTTTAACCACATAGATTAGATGAACATAAAGCTACAAACCATGTAAAGTGAAAATTGAACAAACAAATTGTCTTAAGAATGGTAACTTGTTTCAGAATTAATAATTTCAAAAGAGCAGAAGCAGATATTTGCAAATATTATTTGCAGGACAAGAAAAACAAACGAATTTTCCATGAAAAACCATGCTCCCCTACTTCTATTTACAACACATGAAAATATTCCATAGATACCACTGCCTTTAGCTGTTATCTTTAACTTGCTTATAGTAGACAACAAAAATTAATCTCACAACATTCGGGCTATCAGTCATGATGTAAGTTAGCTTGGCCTACTGGTCTGGTTGTACTAGTACCTAATTTTTAAAGTATGATACATTCACACAAAATAAAATGCATCAATTTTTATTTTGCTAATTTGACACCCAAAATAATTATACATCATACTGTCCAAACAAACCAATTCTCACAAATTACTTTGAGTTAAACAGAGGACTCTATCTACTAAAAATAATAAAATTGCAAAACTGATTCTTCCAAAAATAAATTCTATTAAAAAGTGGTCTTACATAAATCTCTCAAACAAGATTTTAGTGATTTGGAGATTATGATTTTGTCTTAGCACTGTTTTAAAATAACAAAAATATAGATTCACATGAAGCTATGAAGCATCAAAGCAGTAATCAGAATTAAATGTTGACTTACCCTGAACAGGTGAATCATTCACAGCAGCAACTTCCAGAATGGTTGTGGAGCTATTGGGAAGGCCTGTTTGGCCTCTAATCATAATATCTGGATATATAAAAAAGTATTGATTGGTCAAAGATGAAAAAATATCACAACATAATTAGAGAGGATTCAGCCTGACACACCCCAAAAGCTAATTAGAGAGTTGTCCCAAAAACAAGCTCAAGAAATGTGAGTTGTCTTTCACTTATATACTCTATTTTGGTTATATTATTAGTCAACATGAGATTTGCAACACCCATAACACTAAGAACTGAACATCTAAACTCTCAATGCCCAAATAGACTCTTGCACTATTTTAGAATTTTGAATTTAAGCCTAATTCAAACCAAAAACATGCTCAAAAAGTGAGAGTTGTCACTAACATGTATACTTCATTTTGGTCACATTACTACTTGAGGTGAGATCTCTAACAAGAAAGCAAAAAAGAAATTCATAGTCCATACCAGGTGTTTGGGGAGGAAAGCCTTGCCTCCCAAAATAATACACTTGTTCAAAGTGATAAAGCATCGATAGATAGGATTTGCGCACCACAAATGATGCACTAGTTATGGTATCTTTGAAATTGAAGGTCAGAATTACTTCCTTCCACTTACGGTCAACAATCACCTACATGAATAAATAGGTTAGGAGGAATACTTTTAAACAGTTATTTCAAAGAAATAGATGAGTCTAACAAAAACTTTAAGATAACAGAGCTGCATCATAGATAAATTGCAATCTTTAAATCTCTACAATCAGCACCAAATCTGCTGAAAGAAAAACTATTAATAGAGAATGATGTATGCACAGCCAACCTTTTCAATCCCACCACGAGATGTAACTTCCACAAAAAGGCGATGTAGATCAAGTGACTTTCCTCCCACAATAACAACCCTATCACAAACAAAAAGGGAAAAGTAACTTCAATTTTAATTCCATTATTTTTCTGCATCATCCACACTCCAAGTGCACCTAAGAGCAAATAAAAATAGACAGCAGAAAATAACAGTTCTACTATACAACCGATAACAAGGATTGAAGGAAGTACCAAACCGTTTAAATCCAACCAATCTTAAAAGCCAAACCAACATCTCCCAATTTTCCAACCAATAGAGCAAGTCAAGGCATATTCTAAACTAGCATGAAAGTTGACTACACCAACATGCCAATTCCATGTTATTAGCAAAACACGCAAGCTTTAGAACTCTAAAGTCAACAACAACAAAAAGAAGCAATTTTCATAATTTCATTTTTCAACATCAGTTAAAAATGATAGCTGGGCAAGTGGGAAAACAAAACACCAAAGGCACACAAATTTACACCCCCCATAATCGAATAAACCAACCCCGCAAGAGCAAATACAAAAATCAGTAGCAAAAACCACACTAAAAGAGGGCAACTGAAAATGGGTATTCCTTACTTAAATTTTGTGCCGAGTGATTGGTGAAAAGCTTGAAGCTTTTCCCAGAAGAGGTTTGCATCACGAACAATGTCCTGGTAGCTAGCAGTTGGTGCAGGATAAGACGTAGTGGGTGTGGGTGTAGATGATCCCTCCCAACCATTACTGTGTTGTTGCTGAAGCTGAGACTGAAACCCATTGGTGGAACCATCTGGGTTTGGCTTATTTGTCACATTCATGTCTCCCTCTTTGTCCTAAATCCTAATCTATGTATGCATTCACACCTTGACACAGTATCAATTGCTTTTGATTATTACAAAACCATAGGTTATAAAACAACCTTTGTATACTGCTTCACCATCTTCTATGCAATTTTGATATTAATGTGGTGCCAATGTTTTTAATTTTTACTATAATATAAATAAATATATAATAATATAATATTCATATATATATTATTTATATGCTAGTATGTTCCGTTAGCCAAAGAATCTGATAAAGTGTTTAAGAATGATAATTTTCTGGATTTATTTGCTTTTGTGGTAAATAAAATGATACTTTTTTTTCTTTATTTGAAATTGTAGAATATTAAATAAATTATTTGTTGGGGGTGGAATATGTGTGTATGATAATTATTAAAAATGTTTATTATTTAAATATTGCCTTTATTGATTTTTTAAACTTTTTATTAATTGACACATGCATTAATATGGATGGATTGATTTTTTTTCTAAAAAAGGGATTGTTCAACCTAGAAATTTAGAGAATTTTTTTGAATCAATATTAGTTGATGAATTAATTTAATAAAACAAGAAAAACATTAACATCTCACTTAAGAGAGAGAGAGAGAGAGAGAGAGAGAGAGAGAGAGAGAGAGAGAAAATCATTATCAATCAATGAGAAACGTACAAATAAATAAAATTGTTCCCTTTATTTTGTTCGATTTCCAATTTTTGTTTCCACATTTTAAAATAATTTTTTGTGTAGTTATTAGTATAAAATGTTATTTTTAGATAATGTTAAAATGTGACATTATATATAAACAAGAAAAAATATTTCATATACATTGTATTAATTTATAGTTTACTAATCTACGTTGAGTATATTAGAAATAATATAACTTTAATTTTGAATTATTTAAAATACCTTTAAAAATAATTATTGAATGTAAAAATCAAAGTTAAAATTAAAAATTTCAAAATATCATATATATATATATATATATATATATATATATATATATATAATTTTGTCTCGCTTTATAGTATATTTTTTAACTTATTAAAAAATGATTGAAATTTATTGAAATTTATTAAAATTTAAATTAAATAAATATTATTCTTTATAAACATAAGATGAATATTATTTAAAAATATTTATCTCATGTAACAAATAAAGCAATGAAGTAATATAATCTAAAATAGTTTTATTTTATTATATTATACCTTTTATTTTGAATTAATTTCTTAATTTTTATGAATTATTCAAGATATTCTTTATTTTTTAATTCAAATGAAATTTCATATAAGTTGTAATAATTAAAGGAAAATATTTTTTATGGACATATTTCCATTAATTCAGATATTAATTTATATCACTTATAACTTCAGTGATATTTTTATTTTACTTAAACACATATATTATGTTAAAATGAATTTCAATAGTTTTAAAAGAAATTACTAATTGTTAAATATAATCTTATTTCACAATTAAAATAATGATTTTTCAATAGTAAATATAATTCATAAATTAAAATATATTATTTATTATAATTTTTAGTATAATTTATATGTTACAATATTGATTATTAATTTTAATTACGATATTATATTTTTCTTAATCACTTTATATTTGCATATATATATATATATATATATATATATATATATATATATATATACATATTATTTTTATTTTAAAATTGAATGAAAAATATTCCTGTATCACTAGATAAATTGTTTATAATAAATTTAAAAGATAAACTATTTAATAAAAATATTTATCTTTTAAAAAAGCCATACCTAATTTTTAGGGTTTTCAGTTACAAACAAAGAGAAAATATAAAAGAGGAAGAGCTTCCTCGACATGGCAGAGAACAGGAATCACGCAAATTCCATTTGAGTTCATCAAAATTCTCACACCGGGTAAATTTTGTTGCCTGCATTTTTATCTATTTATTTATTTATTTATTTGCATTGTGATTGAGGAGGATTGTTTCTTTGAGTTTGATTTATTTTTATGTTCGTCAGTATAGTTCACGTTTCAATTCAAACCTATCAGCATTTCATCTTCCATAACTGCAAAAAACATAGACCTTCGAACCCACTTGTCATTCTGTGTTGTGCTTTTGACCTAACATAGCTAAAAAGCTTAAATTAAGTCACTCTTTTTGCTGGGTAGGGTTTTTATGTAATTCAGAGTGAAATTCATGCCTTACGGAAGAGATGAAAAAGTTAGAAGAATTTTGGAAAACAGGGATATACTAATGATCAGGTTTATGAGTGTGAACCTGTTACATTCTGTCACTCTATTTTTTTTTTTTTAATCTTTTTATCATACTGTTGCAACTTCCCCTAAAAATTGTCTCACACATATATATCTATATATGATCAACCCCTTGACCTATATATATTTTGTAATTGTGTAAAATCAAAGGAATAAAGCCTCAAACTCTTCTTTGCAAACACTTATCCACTTATTCCCGTCCCAAATCTGGATCACCTTTTTTAGCGAATCATTCTCACTAATCTCTTTGTTCTGGCAGCCATTCGTGGTAAGCATACAATTCTGATTATCTTTTTCCGCACCTGAATTCTGACTTGATTTTTTGCTTGAGAACCTTTTTCACCTGTGTATTCCAATTTCGCTTCATAGTATTATTTTTAATGATTTGGATTTCTCCTTTATTGAATATTTGACAGTGAATTGGTGTCACTATGTTGTTTTGCTCCGACGTGATTTTCTGATTACTTTTTACGGAAAAATGGATTGTTTTGCAATGTGAAATTAACAATGTTTAACAAGGCAATGCAAACTTGAGTATTTTCATTTTAATTGCACTGTACATGTTTTCGTCTTTTTTTTTTCTCTCTCTAATATTAATGTTAAGAATAGGGTGGCCATGGATCTGTATCAATCCGATATACTGACGAATCTGAGCCAATTCAAACGGATAAATTTGGGTTGACAAATATTTAAATCAATGAATGGTATTGTATTTTGATTTCTAGGACCCAAATTGATTTGATCCATCATGTAATATCTCACTGAAATAAATAAAAACAAAAGATTAATAAATATTAAGAATCTTTATATATTTAAGAGAAACTTTAATTAAATGATATAAACAGTAGGTTGACAAGGATAAAGATTAAAATACAAGATAAACTAAGTTAAAAAGGATAAAGAAATGAAAACATGTGAAGTCCAATATGGGTTAGTAACGTGAGCCTACTCAAAAAAGATTCTCTGGCGAGTTAACTAGGTTTTGGGGTTGATGCACAATTTTGATTACAATGGTAATGAATGTCATGAAAGATTCTAAAGTTATGTGATTGTTACATGTTTTGATTCCATGATTTATATATGATGAAATGTTGAGTATGTAATGCTATAATGTTTTATGTTTGAAATGTATAATGTTGTTGTATCTGTTGACGGTCAATGTTTGAATTAAAATGTTTCATAGAAGAAAAGGAGGGAGTGTCACAATTAAAACTTAAATATTTTACAATCATGTAACTATTTTTATATTTTAATTGAAGTTCTCCTGTTTGTGATATTAGTCTTGGTAGATTTAATCAATTCATTATAAAGATATGTTATCAAAGATTGTAATGCACCTCAAATATAATTTTATTTCATAGTTTTTATTTTAATTCCCCATTGTAGACATATATAAGTAAGATAATATCTAGGTGTTACATTTTTTTCCCTTGTTTTAACTCTCTCTAATATTAATGTTAAGAATAGGGGTGGCCATGGTTCTGTATCAATCCAATAACATGAATCCGAATCAATTGAAACCAACAAATTTGGGTTGGTTTAGATTAGTTAGAGTCTTAGATTTTGACTTTGAGGACCCCAAACCAAATTGGTCTATTGGTTATATATTTATTTTATTGTTTTATATTGGTATAAACCTTTAGAGTTTAGGAGATCTTTATTTCAAGACTTAATACAGGTTGTACCTAACGTTATAAAGTGAAGTTTTCGACAAATTCAAATTTGGCCTATATTGAAGATATCAGGGTTAGTAAATTTGATTTGTGGCTGTTTGCTTTTGTAGAAGATCAGTGAAAAGTGTGTGGCTGTGTGGTTTATAATATTCTCTCTGCATTCCGAAGAGCCCATTTTCAGATTGGATAATCAATCTTCATTTTTGTCATGGAATTCCGAAATTTTGACCCACAGCACACTGGGGAGTTATTGAAGTACATTTCTTTCAAACAACACTTCTTCACTATTTGATTATGCTTCTGCTTACTTTACTTGAACTGCTATCCATTCATTCTTTGTTTCTGCTCAACAGGCACATGGATAGGCAAAATGAGGTCCTTATGGAAGCATACAGATCGATGTTCCATGAATTACGGAAACTTCAGGTGTTTACATCTGCACTGTTTTGATTTTCCCAATTTACAATTTGTTTTTAGGGTTTGCAGTTTTGCCACTTGTATTTGTTTTTTGAGACTTGATCCCTCTATTTGTTTGGAATTGATGATGGAAATATTCATTTTGTTTGTCCGATTAAGAGAATTTGCATTTTTTATTTTTGGAGGGTTTTAGGTAGTAGCAAAAAAATTTGATATGTGTGATGCAATGTAGTTTCAATTGGGAATCTGGTAGTTTCTGGTTGTAGTTGTGTATCAATAACACATAATTCTAGCCCTTTTGATTTCAATCTCTTGCTTCAAATAAAACAACAATTTATCTTCACGTCACACTTGTATAGCCCTGTTGATGGCTACTTTGTCTTCGCATTTTGATATCAATTTCTTTTTGAATAACTATCTTACAGACCTAGCTCATTTAATATCTTATTTTAATCTGATGCAACGACTCATTCTTTCTCAATTCCTGTTGTTCATTGATGTTGTCATCAATTCCTGTTTATCATTGATGTTGTTCCATTATTACTATTTGTGATCTTTGTGTTTAATTTCTGACTGAAATGCTTATTTGGTCAAACAAACTTTAAAATTTGGGTTAGTCACCTCATTTGGCATGATGGCTGTAATTTTCACCATCCGTTTCAGCCTGGGGAGAAGGGTGTTAATATTTCAAGACATAATTAACATCATTTGATCTCTTCTGTCATGACCTGTGCATTGAACCCAAGTTCTTGTGATCATCTACATCAACATGAATTCTGTAAATTTTGGACTTTCGATTTTTAGGTTGAAGAAGAAATGCTTATGCGTAAGATGCATGAAGTTATGTCAACTCATGGTCTCACCAGAAAGGTATGTTGATCAGCACATCTCATTATTCTATTAAAATTCCTTAAGTCTGTCCAAAATATTTAGTTGATAATTTGTATTTCTTTTTTTGTTTAATAATGATCTTATAGTCCTAAATGGTGTTAATTATGGGTGCTTATCTGATGGGTTTTTGGACAGCTTAAAACCTCTTAAGGTTTATATTAGGAGGCCCAAGTGCCGAAAGGCCAGCACAAACTTACGGGAATCACTATTGGGGGGAAGGCAGGAGTTAGTTATAGGAGGATGAAAGGAAAGAGAATCTGATATATAGGGGAAGAGAAAATAAGTGGTGGGCGGGTATGTTTTGAGATTATTTTGATTGGATTGGACCCTAGAGGCTTGTCTGACTTGGGGGTTTGGCCCTTGTTTTCTTGTAATTGCTTGCACTTTTATAAACAGTAATACCATTCCATTTCAGATAGGAATAGTTTATGTTATTTGGTTCTTTCTTGAGAGTCGAACTCATGGGCCTCTGACATGCAGGTAGATGAAAAAGAACCAGTTGCTCCTGAGGCGATACTAGCAACTAGAGAAGAGAACCGAAATGGAAAGACAACTTCTCAGTGGCTCATCCATTGGAAAGCTCAATCAGTGGAAGAGGCAACTTGGGAGGCAGCAGAGACGATCAAAGAGAAGTTCCCTTCTCTGTGCCTTGAGGACAACCCAGAAACTAGAGAGGTTGGTATTGATGATAACCCATTACCTATGGTTCTTGCAGAATCTACTAGTGAGAAACCTTTTAAGGTCTACACTAGGAGGACCAAGGCCCCATGTACCTAAGACTAGCACAACCTTCTGGGAATCACTATGGGCAAGGAAGGATTAGTTATATAAAGAGAAAAGAAGATAGAATTTTTTATATAGGGGGAGAGAGAATTTTATATAAAGAGAAAGGAAGGCCCTTATTTTTTCTTTTTTGTAATTACTTCTAGTTCTTTTACCGTAATACAATTCCATTTCAGATAGGAATAGTTCCTATCATTATCATTAGCCTTAGATGGAAGGAACTTGAGGTGCTGCCATAAGTTTTGTAGAAATGAAGTTGGAAACAAAACAGATAGCTTTGTTTTTAATTCTAAAATGTGACTGAGGTCTTCCTTCAATGTGAGGGAAGACTTGTATGATAGTTTCCTGTTGTTCCCCTATATTTTGGGATTTCAATAAATTAAAACATTACCAATTTATATTTATTTTTTGTTGTTTATAATGGAGTCTTATCAATTATTTTATTTTTTATTGTAGGTGGATGAGAATTAAATCTTAAATAAACAAGCAGTTAGGAACAAGGGGCCTGTCTTTTTATATATTCTATCAATATTTCAATTAACAGCTTTTGATGTTTAAAATTAAATTTCTCTAAAAGTAGAATCATTTTAAATATTTTTTTAGTGCTGAATACAATTGTTTGATCACTTAAAAGAACTCTCCTTCAGTTGTATATTCGTAAGTCCAGGTGTCAATGAAACTTGAGATTGAATTGATTTTACATTTCAGAAAGATAATGTCTCTTGTTAGATACAAGATAAAATACTATGGTTCCAAGACTTTCAAATTCTAAAATGCCCTTGATAATTTTGTTATCAAAGCTCTCAATTTTAATAAATTTCATACAAATCATAGTATTAAGTTTCCACAATCAATCATGCCCGACAATCTCAGCTAATTTTCTCACCAGTGATCCATCCATTCAGCCAAAATACGGTTAGAATCCTGTATTGTTCACCCTTAAATGTACCAATTAAGGTTTTAAAGAACTGTTTATAACTGATTTTCAGAGTTTCTCAAGATATCAATAACATCACCATTTAAAAGACGGTTTACAACTGTTTCTTTATTGGGGGCATCTGTAACATTAATTACGATCATATTTCTCACGGTATAAATAAATCATGATCAAAATTACATGGAGGAAACTGTAATTTAAAAGTTAGCATAAGCTATACAAGAATACTAGGTAGTTTAATTAGTAAATTATGTAGTCTAGGCCCAAAAGAAATATGTAGACAAAATATGTTATGAATAAATTCGATATCAACAAACACATGCCAACATGAGCACCCAACCTCGTCAACAAATTTCTGAAATGCATAATTGCAGTCAGGACCACATAATTTAACATAACAAAAGATAAATAGACACAGCAGAACAGGATTAAGAGAGTTCAAATTCAACATATGTCGAGAGAGAAGTTCCATTTTTCATTAATCATAGCAAACCAAATTGCAGCTGAAAAGAGTAACCAAATTAGAATATGCTGAATTTGTTGGCATCTTAGAGACAACCTATACATCATGAGATTACATACTACTACATGAAAAATGATAAAGAGAAAAAGGAGCAAGCGCTCTGGAACATGATGATGATCAACCAAAGAATGCAGGGTTATAGCCATTGCTAGTGGTGGCCAAGATATAATAAGCAACAACATGACCTAAGGAACCCCAAGCCAAGACATCAACTATGTTGAATCCAACAGGGTCGTTGGATTTGAGGAGGCTGACATACTCCTTGGCACGTGTGTCACCAGCCTCGAAGTGTGTGAGCCCGTTCTGCTCAGGGACTTGCTTTGCCACGTTCTCCCTTTGGAAGTTGAAGAACACAAACCTCCCCAAGAAGAGGGAGAGGCCAGTGCTGAGGCTTATCACAAGGGCTGAGTTGAGTTCAGCCTTCACAACACCACTACCTCGAGGGACCCTTTTGGAGGTGCTCACTCTGGCTGAGGCTGTGGACCTTGTGAGGGGTCTCAGACCCTGAAAGCACACGTTGGAGGGCTTCAGATGATGGTGCTTTTGGATGGTGGGGGATAAGGCTGCAGAAGTTGAGATCATGGATGAGGCTGAGGCTGCCATTTTGATTTAGGCGTGGACTTGAATGGAGGAGTAGGTGGTAAGGAGCATGTATGAGAAGGGATCATATACAACGAAAAGGGGTGGTGGGAGAGCAAGATAAGATGCATTTTGATTGTAAGCCATGGAATGAAGATTTGCCTCATGACTTGGCTTGGTTTTATTGGCTAGTTTTGGATCACAGATATTTCATGGCTTTAATTGGGCCAGCTTATATTGCCAGTTGAATGGGTACTCTTATTGCTTGCTAGTTACCACATGCTATAATTAATATTTGTATACATAAAACTAAAATCAGGACTTTTCATATAATCATATCTTATTGTTACGAAATATTCAATTATATCAACACTTTTCATAAAAGAACCAAATTTATTATCATTCACACAAATTGTTGATTAGTTAATAAAACACAGACTTGAAAGAAAAATTATGTCTTCCTAAAGGCCTAAAATTTATTCGGATAAACGAATTACGAAAGGGTAGATAGTTAACCAGTATTTCACTTAAAATTAAACATTTTTCTTCTACCAATGTTAATTTTACCAATATAATAGTTATTCTTATTCTTACCGAGTAGAAGGAGTTTTAATAGTTATTACTATCCTAAACAGATCCATTATCCTTTAACAACTGTCCTTGTCAATATTTCGATAACTTCAGCCGTATATCTCTATTTGGTTTACCTTGAAATAAAAATCGCTTTTCATGGCTCAAGGTTGACAGATTAGTTCCTTTTGTTCAAGCAGTAATAGCCCACAAACAGATTCAAACTACTATAGGTAACTTTACTTCATGTATTAGCATTTTTCTTTACAAATCTAAATATAATAAAAAAGACAAATAAATGAGTTTTACAACAAAAATTCACGGACAAGAGGGGCGTGGACAAAAGAAAAAAAAAAAACTAAAAAAGGGAAATGAAATATCTTCGAAATATACTTACTTTCTTGACTTCGAAACCCACCTGTTTTTAGGTATATGTTATTATTTTTGTACGAAAACTAAAAACCTATATCCTCAAAAGTGCAAAATCCATTATTCTCCCTTGAATAGGGTGGCAAAGAACAAAGACCATCATGTATTATATGCTCCATAATCTGCTTCGAAGGACAGAAACTTTCTAAATTACATACTGATATTATCGGCATCACAAACCAGCCACATACAACATATTTTACTTTCCACTCCATTTTCACTATCATCAATACCTACTAGCTTCCTGTACATCCCCTCCCTTTCCACACACTGATAACAACACAACCTACCACTACGACAAATAGAGAATATTAGCAGGATACTCAATTTATACACATAACCAACCCATCATAATCAGATACTAAAGCAGGTTGTTCAAGTTCACCAGCTACCATGTAATTTATTGCTCCTTGAATATTTTAGTTAAATTAGTGCATCAAGGTATCTATAATCCCGTCGCCGGCTATACTCAAGAAGGCTACCATAAGTGCGATCCCAGACCCCGATAAACAGGGACTCGGTGTCTGGACTGAAAGATATGCCTGATATCTCACCAAAGAAATCAATTTCCTGTTCCTTCTCATACCCACTTTTAACATCATAGACATGTACAAAATCAGCAGGCTCTGCAACAGCCATATACTTGCCATCTGAAGAATACCTGATTGAACGGATGGCTCCAAGGTTGCTCTTCAGCACAGCCACTGACTTGGATAAATTCCGCATGTCCCAAATTCGACAGGTTTTGTCCTGGTTTCCAGTGGCAAAGGTTATGCCATCAGGATGCCATGATGATGCAAATGAATAATCAAAGTGCCCAGATAAGGGAACAACGGTCTGAAAAGCAAACAACATCGTATTAGCAAAATTTTCCATTATAAGCTCTACAACTTGAAAAATAATTGATTGGTTGTCGAACAAAAAGGTAGTACCTTGCCATTTTGGGAGTCCACCAACATACCTTCGGGATTGTCTCCAACAATTAGTAGTAGTTTACCGTCTGGACTGAGAGAAGTGTGCTGCAGTAAATGGAGACACAAGGAAAATAAATTAGAAAGCCATATTACAAGGCAGAATCATTGACACTCCCACTCTTCTATTATTCTCAAAATAGTTTAAATATTTCAGGATAGTAGTTAGAGAGGAGTGGGAATAGACAACAAAACTGCCAATTGCCCCATCATATTGCTAATACATAGGCAACATATCCTATTGCAAAATTGCTCATAATGCAAGGCAATGTAATCTCATGAACACAAATGGAAACACAATTTCCAAAGGAGCAAAACTAAAGTATCCATCCACCAGTCTTCGGAGGGGAGAGAAATGAAGAAAAAAAAAGTTTTAAGGACTCACATTCACTGGCCAGGGGAAACGAAAATGATTAGAAAGCTGAAATTTCTCCATATCAAAGTCTCTGACTCCAGAATCATTATTTGCGGCTGTGAAATGAACTGCACCACTAAAAATCATAAAACAAGTACATTAAACTTGGTGCCTATATCCAATTCAAATGCCCAAAACCACTGGGAGAGGAAAAACTATATACCTAGGAAAAGTATAAATCTCAATGGCATTGGTGATAGCATTATCATCAAAAGTTGTTCTCGTGCAAAAGCTAACACCAGGTCGATCTAGGAGCTGCATTCCAGTAACAAAGGAGATAAAATCTTGATATCTGTTGATGGTTCTAAAACCAAGAACAATTACTATGGGGGACAAGTTAGCAGCATCTGGCAGAGTAACTATAAAACATAATCAAGTACATTCTGACCTCAATAATCTATGAAAATATACATTTTCAAATGCCTAATAAACAATGACAAGAATGAAAATATTATCCAAAAGTTCAAAAATTAGAGACTAGGAGGAATAAGAAAGAAGAGTATCAACAGTAAAGTACTCCACCAATATTAAATATGATAACATATTTGGTGACATGAAAGCCTGGAAGAGGTGGCTCAACTCGTAGAATCTTACAATTGTATTATTTACCCGTGATCCTAACAGCAATGGTCTTGATACCATATAAAGAACAAACCGGGACTAACCCAAACCAAAAGCTAACTCAAGGGAAGAGGATTGCCCGAGTCTTATGAGAAGAATTCTGGTCATATAACTAAAATGTAGATCATAACATGTTTCATAAATGCTCGGAGGTCCAGGAGCACAATTTACACTTTCACGTTACAATTGCATCTACTACAAATTACAAAAGTAACAATGCCTAAAACAAAAGCAAATCATCAAATTACCTTACAAATAAGTTCACCCTGAAATCCACCGGCAACTAGAAGCTTATCTCTCACTGCAAGTGTACTGACTTGAGTGTGAGTAAATCCTTCTAACAGACTTTCAGGATGTTTCTGAGAATAAAAAGTTATTACATTTGGAAGATTAAGATCGCAATGGATCAATTTCATCATAAATTTATGCAATGAACAATCAGAAGTGTATGGTATTCATTTATACAAGGGATATTAACCTCTGATGGTGCAACGTGCCCGGAAACATTGAGTACTTCTGAACTTTTGCATGTCATTGAGGACCAGTGCATTATTGAAAACTGAGACATAAGGTATACATCATGCTTTGATGTAGCCCATACTAGATTCCTTAACTGAACAATAATTTAAAAATTAAATAAGGTCAGTCAACCACTGATAAACTGCGGAGCAGATACATGTCAGAAGTGTACACTATCTGGATTTTTTGTTAGTTTTAATCTGTTCTAAGATTTTAAGAACTTTGGCTATCAACTTCAACATAAGGTGCATTAGGCACCAAAATAAATAGTAATCGTACTGATATGCTCATGTTTTGTTCCCTGTCAAATCAGCAGGCTTTCATTGAAGGGAGAGTGTTGTACACTAAAGAGCACTTCTTCAAACTTTGCTTATATTTTTTGATGTCTGTTCTTTTATTTTTCTTACAGTAACAAGCTGTTAATACTTTCATAGAATAGAATAAGCAAAGCCAACATGTAGCAAAATGTCTAAAACTTAAAGAATGCTGCTAGATAGAAACTATAGTAGACACCCTACCTGAAAATGAAGAATAGTTGACTTTACTGATCTTGTATTTTTTTTGAAGTCATAAAATGAGTATCCTTTTTTGGTATTCTGACAATCCTGCATGTGATAATAGACAGATTCAATGGTGTGATAGTTATGCTTCTAAAACAATGACGTGGCAGGAGAAAAAGAAAAATCGAATGAATATCAAAGAGTCTTCTTGACAGATACCAATTATTACCTTCCCTGACTTGTCTCCTGAACCAGGTATATTTTCATAATTCTTGTATTGCTCAAGCCTAGTTCGCCGATATCTTTCTCTAGTGATGGTAAGATTATCCCAAGGAATTCCCTGGATGTCTTGTCCTCTTCTAGCCTGAGCAGCTGTAGTGTCTACTACTTTGTCACTCTGTACCAAAACCACTACATTAGTCCTAGAAACCTAAAGATAACTGTATCATACTTGACATTTCCTTGATGAATCATTCTAGTAGGAAAAAGGTAATTTGACACCACCACTGATTGAAAATGAATAATTATTATACAGAACATACTCATCAACTTCGTATTCATAAAACAGCACAAACAGCATTTTACTAACCGAGTAATCAAATTCATCTACATCAGACTCTACATCACCCCTTTCTCCATCATCAATAGATTCATCGTCCATGTCATCTTCCACATCCTCCATTTCACATTCATCCGCCGTGTATTCAGCATCACCCCCGTGGTGATGGGACATATTCTGCCCAACTAATTAGAATTTAGAACCTATAATAACAAGAATGAAAAAAAAAAAGAATTAGAAAATCACAGGCAAACAATAGTCCAGCGTGAGCAACCACAATTGGTCCAAAAGTTACATGTATAAATAAAAGCTACATAAACAATGAACAAAACCAAGAAAAAAATAAAAAAATAAAAGCAGTGACCAGTCTAACCAGCCTATACCGTCCAAAGAGTCAAAATATCGCCAAACACGGACCACTGTGTTAATTAAAGTTGGAAAACAAGCATCGAAAATGTTATTCAATTTAAAACCTAAGTATGTTTCGGTAATTGGAAACTCCTCCAACCTAATTGGCATTTCCAACAACAGGATATTTCTATGAACCCATTAACAAAAACTAATAACCTTTACACAACCCAGAAATTAGGGTTCCCATAAAATACCCTCCATAATCATATAAACGAAATCAAGGGCCTTTTGTTAAAAATGATAAATTAAACAGTATTTTCCAAATTCATTTAAAAATTAATAACCAATAGACTACCCAGACCTAGGGTTTCGATAGAACATAGCACATATTTGATACAAAAATTCAAGGCCATTTTTTTACGATAATTTCTCAATATACATGTATAATTTGGCGATGTTTGCATAAGAATATTACAACAAACAACCAAACCTGGTTGTTATGGGAAGTTAATGTATCAAACCTAAAATTGAAATAAAATAAAATTGGATGAAAGAATAATTGAGCTGAAAACGAAAAGAAGTAATTGGAAGAAGGAAAAGATGGAGAAAATTTGAGATTTGAGAGGACGACACGAACCTCTGTCGGATGGAGCCCTCTCGGTCTCAGCACTCAAAAATGCAAATTGACGAATGAGTATAAATCAAAAATATTCTATCTCAAAATAAATAGTAAATAAAAATAGATTATCATTTTTTTTATTGATTAGAAATTTTGTAAAGACTGAGATTTTTTGTTAATATATTTGGAAAGGCCATATATCTTTAAATAATTTAAAAAATATACAATTATTTATTATTTACAAAAAAATTTTAAATAAAAGGCATAATACTTTAAAACAAACATATAAAGTACTAAATTATTTATTCTTTTTAGAAAAAAATAAAATGTAAATGATGCTCTAATATACCTAATTATTAGTTTTAGTCCTATAATATTTTCTTTGTCTTTTTAATTTTTTATATTTTTTATTTGTTTATTTTAGTCATTATATTTGTTATTAAACTATAAAACTATGCCATATTAATTTATAACAATTAATAAAGATAATTACTTGTGTACATTTTTTTTCCAAATTTATTCTCAAATCACAAATTTTTAAATTTTTTAAATTTTTTATTTGTTTATTTTAGTCATTATATTTGTTATTAAACTATAAAACTACGCCATATTAATTTATAACAAATAATAAAGATAATTACTTTATCTTATGTACATTTTTTTAAAATTTATTCTCAAATCACAACTTTTTTTGGAGTTTATCATTGAAGAAGATATATGTGAATGACTCCGAGTTCAGAAACAAGTATACTCACCTTTTTTATGGGTACATAACTCCTAATAATAACTGCTAGAGCTGTCAAACAAATCATAAAATTCCCTCTAGTGGAATATAAAAAGCCTACTTCCGAAGTAGATAATACACACATTTTTTATTGGATAAAACAACACAATAATTGCACTTTTAGAAGAAGTTTCTAGAAAGTTAATATGTTTATTAGATTTAAACAAAAAGATAAATATGTCTAATGAGATAGACGACCTTATAAATCAAGTTTCTAAATTATCTTTAGGAACAAACACATACACTAAAACAATTTCTAAAAATACCCAAAAATTTGTTAAAGTGACAACAAAGAAAAAGACAAATGATCCCAAAAACAAGACCAACAAAGAAGAAGTTTCTTCTTCTACAAATAATATTAGGAGTTAAATATGTTTACACAACCTAATAATTCTACATAAACACACAAAAATGTTGATATAAATAATATAATAGATTCTAATCAAATACAAAGATTTCCCGGAATCCCCCGAAGATTAAGGGAACATCAAACTAAGAGTCAAAACCTAATACAACATGCAGGAATTGTAGATAGATTCCTAAATAGACAAAGAACTACTAACATCAGATGACTAAAAGACTTAGTAGATATACAACAAAATACTGAAATAGAATCAAATTCAAGGATAGATTCCTTAAATCCTAGATAGTTATATAATATAGGTTGGCTAAGTTCTGAAAGAACTAATCTTTACCGATATAAAAGAATAGAAAATTTTCATCTTTCTGACAATACATACGAGATAATTTCATTAATATCTCAACAAACTGATAGACAACTACTAAACTAGCAAGGAAGGTATGTCCATATGGGATTGATTACCATTGGAGTTAGATCCTTAGTTAAACATATGATCGGAGTTAGAGCTTTAACAGTTCTGTATGATTCCAGATTTCAAAATAATGATTCACAAAGTGTGATAAGTATTTTAGAGGTAGATTTAAATCAACATTTTTCATTGATATACCTTGCACCAAATTTTACAATGACACTTTCAGATTTTATTAACCATATAATTCTAGAAGTACAAACAATAGGTTTTGGTCCCAATTGGATGGGCGAAAATCTACACTTATATATTACCTTTATAGGAAGAATTAGTAATCATATTTCTTCCATGTATATGATAGACACAAGACCATTAGAGGAAGCTATCATCTCTCATGGTACACAATTTTTACCAGCTCAAGCCTTCACAAGAAGAAATGAAGGATACTTGTGGCAAACACACTTGCCAAGGGAAGAAAATAATCTCATTATTGTCCCTTCATCTGCTATTCTGTATAACAGATCTACAGGACTTAGTATAAGTTTTATAGACTATAAAAATATATCATGACTAGACCTAGAACAAGATAGGTCAGTGGAAAACAGGCATAACACTTCTGCAATTCCTGATAACGAAAACATTTCTATGATGAATATTGTAGAATATGATGAAATCGAAGATGATGACATAACTGATGAAGAATGGAATCATTATCAGGTTATTATAGCCATGTTCGAACAAGGAACTTTAGATTCCACTACAAATTTTTTTTTCTAAAACAAATGAAAATGTCCAAATTGATGAAATGGACGATATCATAGATACATTTCTAGATAATTTGTGTCTGGATGAAGAAGACGATGATACAGTAGATAATGTATCCTTAATTTCAGAACTCTTATCCACGTTAGGGTTAGTAAATACAAATGTTGGATCAAATAATTTTCAACCTCATAGCTATCAGCTAAAACCTAATGGTGTACAAAGTTATTTAATCGGCTTTTTACCCAAAGAATCATCATAAAATGTTGTTTTTAGTAACAACCAATATACAACACAAGGCAAAAGACTCCCAATAGAGCCAAAATTCCATATTCCTAATCTTCTTCTAAACATAGGAGAAATATTAGACAATTTCGAAAGTTGTCTAATGAATACAATAGAGAAAAATCCATGTTCCCATGACATGCAGTTTTTATCAGGACCAGGATCCATTCCTTGTTTATACTGCGAAAGATACTTTCACATTTCTCAAAAGGCACATTATCCCCTTTGTTACAAAAATTTATGTATAAAATATATACAAATACATCTAGAAATACAGGAAATACCCACTTTCTTCAGAAAAGAAGAAAACATAAAAGATAAAAATTTAATCGACACTAGGACTTTTGTCTTAGAAACCAGGTAAAATATTCTTGAAGAAAAGGTTATTCACTTAGAAAAAATCATTAAGGGAAAAGATGCTGAGAAAAGTCGAGTATCCACATCCCTACAACACAACATGATTAGAAGTGCTGAATGTATCACACTAGTTTGCAATGAAAAACAACTAATAAATGTAAAGGTATTAGTAAAAATAAACTTTCCACAAAAAAATAAAAATCCTGCCAAAGAAGAGATAATCCAAGCTCTTTTAGATACAGGATGTTCTAAAACAGTTATATGTAGAACAAAAGTACCCTCATACATGATTACTAAGAGTAAACATGTACAAAAAACTAGAACTATGTCTGGAGAAATAATGATAAATGATGAAGAGATAAACAATATCTCTCATCAGTTTAGCACAAATTGTGACTTATTTGGTCAGAAAATACATATCAAAACTATGCGAGTGGAAAATATGGTTCCCTCTAAACAAAGTATGATTATAGGTTTAGATTTTATTCTAGGCCAAAATCAAACTATCACTATTAACAAAGATTATGTTATCATCAGTGATAACACAAATGTCTCCCATAATTAGTGGCGACAGTCATAAAAATATAGAACAACCTATTAAAGAGTGTTCTTGTGAAAATCCTAAATCTTCTAACACATGTGATTGCATGGAAGAAGATTTAGAAAATATAGATTATTATTACACAGATAATATTATGGAATCTTTTTCTTCCATAAAAATTTAAAAAACAATCACATTTGACAACATCCAACAGATTTTTGATAGGTTAAATAAAATAAGCATAATAAGAGAATACCATACAAAATTTTGGGATGGTGACCCTGTTATTTGCAAACTAAATATAATCAACCCTGATTTGATTATAAAAACAAAAGCTATCCAATTTAATAATTGGGAACAAGAAGAATGTCGATTACATATTGACAATCTATTAAAACAGAAAGTAATAACTCCAAGTGAAAATCCTCATAGGAGTCCTTCGTTCATAATAAATAAATCCTCATAACAAAAAAGAGGTAAATCTATGATGGTTTACAATTACAAAAGATTAAATGATAACACAGTTGAAGATGGATATATTATTTCATCCAAAGATATTTTGATAAACCGCATTCAAAATGCAAAATGATTTTCAAAATTTTATCTAAAGAGTGGTTTCCATCAAGTAAAAATGAATCTCAACTCAATAAAGTAGACAACTTTTTCCTGTTCAGAATGACTATATGAATGACATGTAATGTCTTT